AAGAAGAGGTGGCTTTGTCACCTTCACTGTGTGTCACTCCCTGCTCAATGCAGCCTACTCCTGCTGTTTTCAAGGAATGGCTTGTCTTTGCATTTTCTATTTGCTGTCTCTTGTTGCAGAGCTGGAATTGGTTGCCCTGTGACTAATCTCACTCGCTCTGGTCCAGTCTGCATTAAGCAATTGCAGAGTCCAGCTTCCAGCTCCTGTTCCAAGCAAGCCAAAAGTCCTAAACCACCTACTGAGTTCAGAACAGGTTGTTACGCTCATTAGCTTGAGTGCTGGGCACAGCAGGCTGCAGACAGAAATGGTTTTATCTGTAATGTTTTTTTAACAGCAGTCCTCAGTGCAGAGACTAAACTGTGATTTGCAGCACCTCTTGAGTGACTCGAAGCTGGAGTTATTCCAGAGGACCAAAGCCACAAAGTTTGATTCAGAGCTGACTTGGCATTTTTCTCAAAGCCAAGAGGTGTGGAAAAATATTTCCAGCCGAGACCGTGATTTCACCCCAGCAGACAATTTTGCTTCAAACTTAAACCCAGACTTCCCTGAAGTGCAGGTCCCTGACCTGTTTAGGCCTTTTCCACATTAACTACTTTAGCAGTTTCAGAAATAATTTATCGGTCATTCATTTCAATCTCCTGAGGAATGCAATGAATACACAACAATGGGTCGTAAACCCCACAGAATTGTAACAGACATAAAAGAAGACTAAAGGTTGGGAAGGGGAACAGGTTGGGAAGGGTTTTGAGGGGCTGTGTAGCCCTCCCAACGCAGCGTCAAGCCCTGGCAGGTGTATCCCACCTTTTCTTGGCCATCCTCCCATCAGAGGGATTCTCAGTTTTCTCCACCTGCCCTGGAGGAAGCAGGAACTGAGCTGAAGCTGGACGATGGGCTGTTTTGCAGCTCAGTGTGGACAAGGAGTGCCCATCACCCGACTTGGAACCAGAAGTCAGGTTGATGCGGACAGTCCCTGTGTGAATACGACAGCCTGTGCTCCAGGAGGGTCTCACAGCGAGTTTGGGCTTACTCAGAGCTGGCACAGGCATCTCTGCTGCTGCAGAAGCCCTTCCAGTCACGCCTGACATTTCCAGTAGGACTGGCAGGAGCCGACACGGAGCTGAGCTAACAGGATGTGCTCAGAAGGTGGAGTTCTTCGCCTCCGAAAGTGCGGGTTGATATGCTCCGGGAGGGTCTCACAGCGAGTTTGGGGTTACTCAGAGCTGGCACAGGCATCTCTGCTGCTGCAGAAGCCCTTCCAGTCACGCCTGACATTTCCAGTAGGACTGGCAGGAGCCGACACGGAGCTGAGCTAACAGGATGTGCTCAGAAGGTGGAGTTCTTCGCCTCCGAAAGTGCGGGTTGATATTGCTGCATCCTCCCAGCAGCCCCAAGGCTCCAGCCTTCCCTCAGGACGTCACAGTGGCAATGGGAACATTTCTGTAAAGATCTGATGAGGATGCTCAGAACAGATGCAACGTTCTTGTACAAGGATGGACTGTGCAGTGAGCACAGCTGGGTAACCTCTGGTTTGATGTCACTTATTCTTCATGGTCCTTATGCTAACCTTCTCATCAATCTCCAGCAGTTATGAGGACACTGTCCTACAGGGTCACTCCTGTGTTTTTTGCTGCTTGCTTTGTCTCTAACTCTGACATGGCTGGTCAATATTTTAAAGTTACTGGGGAAGGCTAGATTATGGTCCTAAGCAAATTATTCATCCCAGTCTTCTGATGCCAGAGACTCTTCCAGTGCTGCTGGTGCATTACGTGTCTATTGCAGGCTCAGCAGAAGGTTCTCAAATGGTTTGGGGGGGTGTCACTCTGGGCCAGAAGGGGAAGAGCCCATCGGGTACACCCCCAGCCCTTTTCTTGTGCTTAGGGATGGACGTGCTGAGAATCAGAGCAAAGGGGTTTGTCTTTGATGTGCCACTAACACATTTACTGTCCAATGTAGTGATTTTTTTCCTTATTTAGCGAAAAGGCAAGGCTGCTGTGGAGAAGGGACTGGTTCAGCATTGCCAGTGTCAGTGACAGCTTTTTCTGTAGAGACCAAAGGACATGGAAGGACAAATAGCCAGGAGCCCTCTGGGACACGCTGTTTGCAGGGCTCTTTTACCAGCAGAACTGGTTTGATGTCATTTATTCTTCATGGTCCTTATTCTAACCTTCTCATCAATCTCCAGCAGTTATGAGGACACTGTCCTACAGGGTCACTCCTGTGTTTTTTGCTGCTTGCTTTGTCTCTAACTCTGACATGGCTGGTCAATATTTTAAAGTTACTGGGGAATACTAGATTATGGTCCTAAGCAAAATTATTCATCCCAGTCTTCTGATGCCAGAGACTCTTCCAGTGCTGCTGGTGCATTACGTGTCTATTGCAGGCTCAGCAGAAGGTTCCCAAATGGTTTGGGGGGGTGTCACTCTGGGCCAGAAGGGGAAGAGCCCATCGGGTACACCCCCAGCCCTTTTCTTGTGCTTAGGGATGGACGTGCTGAGAATCAGAGCAAAGGGGTTTGTCTTTGATGTGCCACTAACACATTTACTGTCCAATGTAGTGATTTTTTTCCTTATTTAGCGAAAAGGCAAGGCTGCTGTGGAGAAGGGACTGGTTCAGCATTGCCAGTGTCAGTGACAGCTTTTTCTGTAGAGACCAAAGGACAAATAGCCAGGAGACCTCTGGGACATGCTGTTTGCAGGGCTCTTTTACCAGCAGAACTTACTTATTTGATTGGGAATCCCATTAGCCACAAAGACATTTCTTTCTCAGTAACCAAATTTGTGTTGATTTTGCTAGTCAATAAAAAAATATCAGACCCTATAGTTAAACAGATTTAGAGACTTACATTAGATTTTCCTTTTGATTGATATCTGGGATAATTTGCAGTAGTGAAAACAGAAGAAGTTCCCATCCCCTTTTGTGTTGGCCCCGATAAGGAGCAGCAAGTTCTTATGGAGTCGCATAAGACAGAAATCTTTGCTCTCAGGTGCTACATTTCCAGACCCCTGTGGCCACTGAGGGACTGTCACCACATCAGTTACTGAACTGTGCAAATTCATAAGCCAAGCCATGTAAGTTAATTTAGAAAGATTGCACACACCTTAGAATCTAAGACTGTGAATTAAATAACATACCATCCATGAAAGAAACACAGCCTAAAATTAGCCACGGAATAATGGAACGTAACCCACAGACTCAAATTTGAAAGGATTATGTTTTAGGCTTCTTTTACTAACCCAACCTAGTGTTTCAATAATGAAGGTATCAACAGATGCTTTTTGCTTTTTTTTTTTTTCCCTGTTCTCCTGACGGATAGCTGTTCTTGGTAATGAGCAGCACCCTGCTTCAGGAAAGCCCTCCCTTCCCGGGAAGCTCTTAAGCATTGCATAATTTTCGGCGTGGACAGAATCCCCACAGAAGCTGAGTGCGTGCCTACAGCTGAGGATGTGCTTAAGAGCCTCCCTAAATGAGGGCCTTGATGTACAATTTAGAGGGAAGAATATGTGCTGCTCAGTAGTCAAAGCGATCCAATTTACATAAATATTTATTTGTTTTCCATTATATATCATTTTTATGCAGGTGCTTGTGGGATGGATAGACGTCAGAACACATACATAATGGAAAAAAGCTTCAAAGGTATGGTATCCAGTGCCTGCAGCCACCCTGGCAAAGAGTTTGAGGAGGGTGTCGTAGAAGAGGTGAGATAGGAGCCCTGAGCCCCCGGGAGCGTGGCCGTGCAGAGACAGAAAGGGACAGAGCAATTACCTCCAAAAATCCGCCGGCACGGCTCAGCTGGCAGCGCTCTGCACTCCCAGCCAGATGTCTGGGGCCCATGAATTATGGATGCGAGTCCTTGCGAGGCCGAAGGCTGCTGCCTCGGCAAAGCAGCGTGAGATACAAAGGGAGGGCTTTGCTGCAGGGACAGGAGGGGCAGGCGGAGTCCTCTGGCCAAGGGAAGCTCTTTTAGGACCTCTCAGCCGTCCTACGAGGGCTTTCTGGTGGCAGTTGCTGGTGATGATAGACTGGTGCGTTTCCCGGCTCAGTCTCAGGTCCATGAGGCCCGTAGCTCTCCTGAGCTTAAACAAGGCCACTAGAAAAAACAAGCTGACCCTCCTACGTGGCCTTCACTGAAAAAGATTTATAGCAGAGCTTGAGAAAAGACCTCACTCGGTACATTAACCAGTCACGCTGGCACGAAGCAATTAATGGGCATTGACTCCAGGGCACTTCTAAAAAGGGATTATAGATGAGTCATGAGCACAAGGCCCAGTGATTTTCACATTTCAGTTGTCCTCCAGGCTTACATTCAAAATATTCCATGTATGGACTACAAGACCACCAGGCGCAGTGGTCCCCACAGGCTCCCGACTGCCTGGGCTGGGGTTTGGCACACTGAACTTGTGGGCCACAATATGGAGCAAGGAGTCAGTCTCATTCAGAATAGGCAGATTTCAGGCCAAGGTCATGGAATTCAAGGCTGTTGGGTCTGTATAGGACCAGGTGGGAAGGTCCCTCCATCAGCCGAGGAGGTAAATACCACACAGCCTCTTTCTGTAATGTCCCAGAGCTGGTATCAGCTGAATAATGAGGAAAATGGTACCTACAGATAGAGCTGGTTTCAATTTGCCCACTGGGATGCTGTGGCCGAGGTGTTACAGAGCAAGACTAACGGGGACCACTGAAAGCTGCTCCTCATGAAACTCAATGACCATCTTATAGCCAGGCCTAGAGAGCACTAATCACTTCGTAGCTGCTGTTTACAAAATGAAGTGGTATAGGATTTAAATATAAATTATATATATATGTGCACCTTGCCACATAGAACCACCGAAGGAAACCAATAACCCTTCACCAACTCTTTCTCCATAAAGGTAAATTTAACATATGAAAAGGGTCATGTATGTATATTTGACTTAATCCACTAGTTCCAGCTACTTCAATGATTCTCTTATTCAGAGAAAAAATCTTATTATAGTATAGCCAGTTGTTCTCTTTACACGTATATTTGACTCAATCCATTAGTTCCAGCTACTTCAATGATTCTCTCATTCAGAGAAAAAAATATTATAGTATAGCCAGTTGTTCTCTTTACATGGAACTATTAATTTCAAGATTAGTTTAAAATAAATGACTGTGTTTACAAAGTTAAAAAGCGGCTTTGAACACACACAGTAGGAATTGCCATCCACAGACACGGTCCCACAGAGAGCAGGGCACCAGCGGGAACGAGAGAAAATGAATTACAATAACAACAAACTGTGAAATGTGTTTGCTGCTGCTGCTGCTGCATATTTTGTGTATTATTTAGGATCTGAGCCATTTTCTTTTCATGTTTATCTCCTTATGAATTGAAAAAAAAGTCAGGGCTAGAAGCCAGGTCAGGAAAGCTGAGATGCTCTTTGTGGCCACTCGGCTGTCGCAGGCAGGCACGGCTGGTGCTGGGGACACAGAACACCCCCCGATGTCCAGGGGGTTTTTGGTAGCTAACCTGCAGGGAGTTGGCAGCTGAGATTTCTCAGGAGCATCTGCCTTCGGATGGCTACATGCTTCCCACAGTGCAGCCTGAAGGTCAGTGTCTGGGTTGGGGCAGCCCCGGGGCTGTGCCAGCAGCGTGGGCGCGCTCGGTCCCAGCTGAGCCCGTGCCAGGAGGAGCTGGGCGACCTGCCCGATGCTCAGTGCACAGCTCTCCTCACCCTGACGGGTCTTGCGTTGGCCCTAATGAGCCACATTCATCTGAAAGATGGAGAGGAAGCATCTACTAAGCCAGGTCATTCAGATAAAAGAAACTCCCAGTCCCAAACAATTGGATTCTGTCAGCAAAAAGACTTGGCAGGCGGGTGCTCTGTGTTTATATACTTTTATGCACTTTGAAGATGATGTCTTTTCCCACCAGTACCCGTTAGGTCTGGCTGGAGGAAGCCTGCCCAGCAGCTGAAAATGGTGTTTGGTGCTCCCGACCCCACCCCACGCACTGCTGGAAGGGGACATGGGTATCCCGTGGCTTGAGGCTGAGTTTGTGATGGACCTGGTCCACCACCCGCTTCCCCCAGTTCTCCTCTGAGGAGACCAGAGCCCCCAGCCCCACAGTTCCCCACTGGCCTGGCAGGAGGCTGTCCCCAGAGGAGTGCAGCCAGGAGAGGGATGTCCCTTTTGCAACCTGGCACTAGAAATGTGGTGGCCGTGCTGCCAGTGGAGGCCCAGGGGGCTGGGCATGGCCAGTTTGTGTTTGCCAGAGTCACCCACAGACCAGCCCAGCTCACGCCGAGGTGTCTGGCAGCTCCTTGTGCTGGAAAAGCAGCAGGACCCCTGGGGACAGCGAGGGGCTGGATGCCATGATGCCAGCTCTGAGCCCTGTGGCATGTGGTGGCAGTGGTTGAACAGCCACAAGGTGTCCAGAGCAGTTTCTTTCCTGTGCAGGGTGGTCAGTGATACCATTTCCAAGCTTTTCCTTGCAGCTAAGCCCTTCTCTATATTTTTTTAGGGGGTTTTATTGAAAGAATGGTGATGTACTGGTGGAATAATAGGACCGCAGGCACTAATATTTTAAGGCAAAAATCACTACCCTTTGCACGACGGCCAGCAAAGTCCCAGCAGTTAGAAACACTGATGCACTTACCTCAGGGCCCTGGGGCTTGGCTTAGCGTGGTTCAGGTGTTTGTTGTACAGGAACGTGTCCCCACAAGTGTCTGTCACACTCGGAGAAGCAGCAGTAAGGGATGGCTGGGTGACTGTCCCGGCAGCAGGAAGGTTAGCCAGGTTAATGGAAGCAGCCAGAAAGGCACGCTACGCTGAACAGCACCCATAAATATGATTAAATAGTAGGAGAGCGTGTTTTACCTGTGTACATCATATTTCCTCAGCACTTCCAACGTGGCAGTAAGGCACCGAGGCTTGTCATTAGTATGCCAGAGGATATTTAGGGCAAAAGAGAGGAACCTGGTCTGTGGGAGGGACAAGTACATTTCCAGTCCCTGGGAACAAAAATAAACCCTCCTTCAAAGGTCTGGTGATTGGTATCCAGGCAACACAGAAGACAGGGGCTTCAAAATTAGAGCATATTCCCCATATTTCTCCAGCGTGTCCGGGTGATGGGGCGCTTGTGGTGGCAGTGCCACTGCACGGGGTTGGCCTCTGCCCCTCCAGGAAAGGGTACCACGGGAGGACGCCGAGACGGCATCTCCAGAGCTCACACGTGGCCTGGGGTGGGGGGATGAATGGGCTGAGAATCCCTAAATAGGTTTGTTCTGGGTGAAATTAATTCACGAAATGAGATTTGACAAATTGATGCCAGGCTTTTTTAATTATCCCCAAATTACCTTAATAACAGAGCAACTCAGATGCTTCCACATCCTTTAGAGTTAAATTCTCCGTGATCCTGCGCATAATGTGTCTTGTGGGGGCTAATGGCTCCCTGGTGACACACGTTACCAAACAGACCCTGCTGCTCCCGAATTTATCCTGTATCCGGAGCGCAGGGGCTAATCCCTCACTAGACACAGAGTTCCCTTTTACGTCAGCGGGAGTTGGCTCCTTGGCCATGCTCTTTCTCAATATCTGCTGGGAAAAGGCAATTCCCAGGAGAGGCCAGATGAGCCCAGATTGCCCAAGTGGCTTTTTGTTGGACTTTCCTGCAATGGGTGTGAAAAGGGAAGGGCTGGTGCTGCGGCTCCAGCCTGAGGGACACCAGCCTGGGGGTAGTGTCAGCCCCAGCAGTTGTACAGGTGAATTTTAGCTCAGGAAGATAAAAGGAGCTGAGCTGGACTTAGTGAAATACACCACGTGCTGGGATTTCTGCCTCCGCCAGCCCCAGGTGCCCACTTCCATAAACAACCCAGCACTGAGCTACTCACCCATGTGCTACAGCACCGCAGGAGCAGGACTTGGCACTCTTCCCCTTTTTCAGTCTTTTAGAATCTACATTTTTATGAACCTACTGTGTGCTACAGCACCGCGGGAGCAGGACTTGGCACTCTTCCCCCTTTTCAGTCTTTTATAATCTACATTTTTATGAACCTAACCCCAAGTCTGGTTTGCTCTGTTCCCTCCCAGCACAGGGAGTGCTTGGCGGGGGGCTCTCGGGGCGCTGGCACCTGGAGCTCGCTTTATCCCCCTCGCAGGGTCCAAAAGCTGCAGGCTCCTCTTCACGCTGCCCACTTTGGTGACCTCCTGCCTTTCACCCCCAACAGCATCAGCTCAGCAGCACAGCTTGAGGTAGAGGAGAAGTTTGCATCAGTCCTCCTCTCCTCTTGCCCTAAAATGTAGAGCTGGCTTATCAAAGGCTGCCCAGGCTCTCCTAACGAGCACTGCATACCCCCAGTAGCCACCTGAAGCTGCAACAGGTGGAGCTGAGCGCTTTTTTGCCTAAGAATGAAATAAAAGCCTCAGGGCTGAGTCTCTGCCCCTCATTTGGGCCATGTCCCTGGAGTGGTGGGTGCTCCTGCACCAGCACCAGCTCAGGCAGCACTGGGAGCTTCCAGCTCCTTGCCCACATGAGCCAGTTCACCCGTGTCCAACCTTCCCAGCAACTGAAGAGTGGGGCCCAGGCCACACAGCACAGGTATTTTTAGCCTAAATATTTTTCATTTTATGATAGGATTTGTTCGTCTCTGTCTATTGTCTCCTTACCTTTATGCACTAACAGATCCTACACTGCAGGAACCTTAATTTAACTCATCTACACAGCAAAAGCTAACAATATTGGGCTCACTCACGTACAAAAGCCTCTGGTCTCACGGGGTTGCTCCATCGCTCGTTAGAAGGAGAGGAGGGAACAGCTTTTCACTGACTGGGCTGGGGCTGGCAAAGCTGGAGGCCAAACCCTGCAGTGGGGGAATAGTTGTGTTGCTTTGGTTCCTGTCTCCTGTGAGGTACCAAAACAGACATGTTTCACTCTGAAGCAAAGGCATTGTTAAGCTCACCCAGGCTGAAGTCAGACCAGGAGTTTCTCAATTTGATTACTAAACAAAGGTTGCACTGGTGTGGGGGCCTCTGCCAGCCCTGATGGTCCCAGCAGGGTCCAGCTGGTTTGCTTTGCAGTAGAGCTTCCCACCAAGCTGGTTTCACCAACCCTGAGAGCTGAAGCCTCTTGGGTTTTGCTGGTGTCACTGGAATTGGAGCAGAGAAAGGCAATAGCTCCCTGACAGCCGCAGGGCAGGACCCAACACCTTGCTCAGGGCACCCTCCCCGTGCCATCCCCCAGCTGAGCCAAGAGGAAGGGCACCAGAGTTGGGGACAGATGGGGACACACATGGAGACACAGCCCCCGAGCTGCTGGAGGGAGCGTGGCACCACAGAGCAGAGCAGACCCGAGCAGTGAGTTGGCAGGACGGGGCAGACAGGCAGAGAGGCGAGGGTTGTAACGGAGAAGCGATATCTTGTTGTCTGTCTATTTCTTAACCTGAATTTCTCTTTTTGTCTCCCATACTAGACAGCGGGGGCAGCTGGGATTGCAGCTATTTTGCAAGTCCCGCTATTTCACCGGGAGTATTTCATATATACCAGGATCTGCCTTTGTACTGTAACCCAGCACAAGAAAATGCCTCATCTTTCATTGCATCGCTCTAATTCTAAATTAATGGCACTGCCCAGCAGGATGCACACAGCAGCAATGGCACGTTCTTGAATGTCAATGTTAAGACCTATTTATTCTCTATTTTTCTTTTTTTATTTTCTTTATTTTTAAAGCAAGACTGGCACTGTACCTTGCAGCAGGCTGGCATTCCCCAGCCAGGGTGACCGACAGGGGAGACCGGTGGTTACAGCTCTCACGCCAACCTTGTTCTCCCCACGTAGCGCCTCCTCCGTCACCATCTCCAGTTTTCTCCAGCCTGGAGGAGAGGAGCAGTAGATTTCTACAGCAATGGGGAAAAAAATAACAAAGCAGAGCAAAAGTGAGGCTCAGATGGAGGCTTGTCCTCCCCCCCCCTGCGGAAACCCAAGCGCTCCCCACCAGCAGGAGCAGCCTCCTCCCAGTCTTAACGGCAGAGGGAATGTGAAGAAGTGGGTTTCTCCTGGTGCTGGATGGCCCCAGAAATGGGAGCTCTCGGGGGACACACGCTGCACTGCTGCAGTTCTTCACCTGCTGGAAATGTTTTGCTTTCAAACATACGGCATTTGATGTTGACCAAAGCCCCCAGGACACTAGCCCTCTAGCTGGCCCAGCAGGACAAGTATCAGCAGAAGGTCCTGCCTGCAGAGCCCATCTGCCACCACGGGGCTGCGGTGGGGCAGGATTCAAATGTAGCTCCTTAGGATTTAGGGGGGAGGAAGGGAAAGGATTGCCACCTCCGATTAAACATTGCAGTAAATGACAACTAGAACCTTTTACAGGAAAACCTTCGGTATCAAGCAGGTTTTTCTTTCTTTCCTGGTAGTGAGTTGTGGATGCAATGGTCTGGACACACCCAGAGCACAAGCGTCGGGTGTCTGTGCTGGATGCTTCAAGGATCTTCCTTACCCCTTTGCCCCCTTGTCATCCCCTTTCCCCCCTCCCCCACTTCCTGCAGAGGTTCAGTTGTAATTAACCCAAGCACGCTAACAACTCTAACGCACCCACTCCCTTCTTGTTTTGCAGATTATATGAAAGAATCTGTGTGCAGCTCCAGCACTTGTTCCCTCAACAGCAGTGAAAACCCATACGCCACCATTAAAGACCCCCCCATTTTAACATGCAAACACTCCGAGAGCAGCTACGTGGAAATGAAATCACCTGGTCACAGAGAGTCCCCATATTCAGAAATGCCAACTTCATCCACAGCCAATAAAAACATCTATGAAGTTGGTAAGTGGGGGCGGGTGGCAGAAGGTTGAGTCCAACCCAGTGGGTGTTTTTATTAGAGATGCTGATTTTCCTTCTTTTCCAGACACATGGACTTGGCAGGGTGCAGGGAGGTGCTGGCTGGGAGAAGCTCAGCATTAGTGTGTTGGTTTGGGGAGCTAAGTCCCAGGTGTTGGTGGATGTGAGCATGGTAGAGCACCAAACTGCTCCTCCAGCCCAGGTGCAGGAGAGCTGCAGTTTGCTATGGTTTTGTTTTAAACTACTGCAAGATTTTAACAGCGTGGAGGTGTTGATCATTTGAAGACATTATCTGCAGGGCTTTGGGAACTGCCTGCCCTTGGATCCGTTTGGTGGTTTTCTCCCTGGTCTGCCCCCAGTAAAGCTGCGAGGGGAAGAGCTGCTTTGGGAAGCTGATGTTCTGGGATTGTGACAAAATACACGAGCAGAGTAAGTCACTCTGGGAGCACCACTACTTACCATAACCTGCTTTTCCTTGCTTCCCCAGAGCCCACTGTCAGCGTGGTCCAAGACGCCCGCGGTCGGAGTGCCAGTTACCTCCAAAATCCATACGACCTGCCTAGGAACAGCCACATTCCTAGTCACTACGACCTCCTCCCCGTAAGGCACAGCCCGACGCACGGGCCCTCTTGGGACAAGCAGTCTTAAAGGGATGAACTTCCCTGCTGCAGGGTGCTGCCAACACAGACTCTGAGGAAGCAAAAAGAGAAGACAATCCTTTTCTGCGCTGCAGGACGCTGACGGGACTTCAGGCTGTCTTACACAAGGACCTAACGTAACACATCAGCTTGGGCCAACTGCTGCTGCATGATGTTATTTATAAAAACATTTTTATATGGGTAACAGGAACTAAGGAGAACCTCCTCCACGTGTGACTGGAGTCCGTCACCCCAAGAAGGTGTCTTACTTGCTCCAGGCAAAAACTCTCCGTGGTGTGTGTTCTAACCCTGGCTTTGCTGTAAAATAAAACACAAAAACATGCTAAGTAGAAGGACTTAGAGATGTACATTTCTGCCAACTGCATCAAGGAACCTTTTATTGTTAGGAACAAGGTGACTAGGAATACACTGGAATATATTTTACATCTTTGTCATGGAAATGGACATTTTTTCTGACCGAAAGCAGGGAAGCTTGTCATTTCACTGTCTGGAAACCTCATTTACTGCCATCACCCCGTGCAACCTGTGCTTGATCATGCTTGGTAATTAGCACTGAATTGTTCATCTTTATATTCAGGACCAGGGTATCTGAGTTGAGGAATATTAACACAGACACATTCTGTGCAGTTTTTAAAAATGTAACATCTTGGCAAATGTCCACTGATCTTTGCTAATGACTTGAGATTCAACAAAGAGTCTCACTCCCAGCTCACCACACTTTTAACAAGCTATAAAATACTTGGATTGGCACAGATGGGCTTTGATTTTCCTTATACAGCTTCTATTTTATTAGATAAACCCACCAGATTTGTCAGAGGGTGTAAACTGATGCACCTTGGGGCAGGTAACCCCTGGTTTGGTTTCCTTTCCTACAGCTGAGACACGGCACCTTCCTGAGAGCATCTTTACAAACCATCTCATCATGCTCCGCTGAACCACGCGCCATCGAGGACACCCTTTAATTTGACGTGCATTACCATGTAGTGCAACTTTATCCATTGATGATCCTACCTTGAAATGTCATTAAATTGAGCTGAAACTGGATTTTTTCTTTTTCAGCAGCGCTTTGTGAAGTAATTACCAAGGGGTTGGCCCACGGTAAAGCTTTGGACTAAGCCACCATGATTACTAGTTTTTTTTTTGTAATCTTTATTGACCTAGAAAGTAGAATACTTGCCGTTAAGCAGTTCCTTGTAGATTTTGAGCATGAACTAGTATTGATTCTAAGTATGTAAGTTTATTAGGCAAACGTGGAAGTAGCAAGTGGATTGCCTCTTAAATATATATAAAAAAAAGAAAATAATTCTGTTGCACATTCGCCAGTCTGATGGAAGTAGAAGAGACCAAAACCAGCACCAATCAGTTTGCTCAAAGCATGATCCCTCCCATAACCTGCTGGTGGAGGGCACTGGTAAGAGGAGCCCGTCCAGCTGGGTGGCAGCAGCTCCATCCCAGCTCCCAGTCACAGCCGGCGTCGGATCGCTCGGAGCAGCCTGGGGGGGCTCAGCCTGTGTCCCCACAGATGGGCTCAACCCTCACCTTGGGGATGGAAGCCCCTGGCAGGGTGGTACCAAGCCACTGGCAGCCCCTGTGGCACCTGGGGCTCCCATCAGGGTGTGGGGAGCCCCAGTGACGCGCTGCTGGAGGAGCCAGGACCCTGCTGGGGGTGGGGGGGTGGTGTCTGGTTGGCTCTGAACCCCTCTGTGCAAACCAAGCGTTTTGGGGTGAGACAGCTGAGCCCAGAGACACCCCCCCAGGGCTCCAGATGCTCGTGTTGCAGGACGATGCCTACGTAGTTCCGTGAATGCTGCATGTCTGCATGGGGGCAACGGCAGGACGATGCCTACGTAGTTCTGTGAATGCTGCATGTCTGCATGGGGGCAACGACCCATCAGCAATAGCAATTTTATTTTCCAGGAAAGCCTTATTTGAGATGCAAGCAGGCAATGACTTTGTAGGGCCAGTACAAATAATATTTTACGTATGTGAAAGACTTACCTCAAAAACATCAAGAGAAAGGCAGCTGGATAAGGAATCCTCTTGTTAGAGACCTACCTTGACACCCAGCACAAGCATCCTCAGCTGCCGCCCGGACCGACGTCGGTGTGAGTGTCGCTGTAAAGTTTGTGATGAGACTCCAGAGAGCACAGATGTGCTCAGTTGGTTTTGGGTTTGTTTTTTTTTCAAAGCTGAATTTTCAAACCAAATGCAAGGATGTGCATAGAGCTTAACAGAAAAAAAAAAAGAAAAAAAACCCCCACAAAAAAACAAACAAAGAAAACCAACAAAAAAGTACCTTCTTGTATATTAGCATTAGCTTAGGATATAGGCACCAAAATGGCAATACTTTTTTAAGGCAAGACAGATTTGTAATATATTTGTTCACTGTGCAAAGGTATTCTACCTTGTACAAAATAAATGGAATTTCTCTCAGTGTGTATTTCTCAAACCTCCTCATTTGCAGCCTAAAAGTTGCAGCCCCGTGTTCAGGTCCGAATTCTCCAGGTGATGGGGCTGGTCAGGAAGGGGCTGCCCCCCCAAGGAAAAATCCACACAGGCATCAGGCTTACAGGCCAGAGGTTGTAGAATTTCTCAGAAAACACAAATCTGTAACTCAGACTGCAATTTGGAGTTAATTTTGAGCAAGGCCCAGCTTTAAAACCAAACATACCTGGCTCTGTAGGGATCTGTCTCACAGCTCCTGCGGTAGCTCCGGTCCCCCAGCAGTTCAACCTGAGCGAGAGACCCCGGCGATGCACAAACCCAGCTGGGGATGCTCCCGTGCACCCACAAAGAGCAACCTGGGGCGAGTGCTTCTCAGTGTGTGTCGTGGTTGTGCCTTTCCACGGGCACTGGAGGACACGGGCCACCCTGCTGTGCCCGGCAGTGAGGAGGCAGGACACGTGGCAGGTTCCACAGCGGCCCCAGGCAGCCTCATCGATAAAGCAGGAGCAGAGATTTGGAGCAGAAACACC